TATATATATATATATATATAGTCTTAAACATGTAACTCATCATGAGTGTAGAGGGAAAGGCAAGCAAAAAACAGCAAACACATCCCAGTTATTTTGTAGTTAATTTCTGTTTCAATTCTCATGCACTGATTTAGTGCAGATGTGTACTGCATATGTGATCTCTTTTTATTTTAAAAGGAAAAGTAATTTCCAAAGGAAAGTCAGAAAACTATTTACAAAATTTTAAACCAATAAAAATAAGATGAGTGTAGAGGGAAAGGCAAGCAAAAAACAGCAAACACATCCCAGTTATTTTGTAGTTAATTTCTGTTTCAATTCTCATGCACTGATTTAGTGCAGATGTGTACTGCATATGTGATCTCTTTTTATTTTAAAAGGAAAAGTAATTTCCAAAGGAAAGTCAGAAAACTATTTACAAAATTTTAAACCAATAAAAATAAGACTTAATTAAATGGGAAATTGGAGCCAAACTTTCCCTGAAATTCCAGTTCCTCATACTGTGACATTCAAAATCAAAATGTGCCATTGAGAGAGCATTTAAATCATAGCTTTTTCCCCCTAGTATGCTTCCAACTATAAAGCTTGTAGAGGCAGCTGAAAGATGACCTTGTGTTGAAATTACAAAAGAGTGATAATGTATTATAAATTACAAATTAAACTTCTGCACTGAAAGTATTAATCCTGACAGTTGACTTTTAAACGGGTAAGTGAAGTAGCTAATACAGGTTGTACCTCTCTGGTCCAGCACCCTCAGGACCTGAGTGGTCCCAGATGAGGTATTTTTCCAGATCAGGGAAGGTTATTTTAGGCCCCCTGATCCCCCTCCAGGCTTCTGGGCTCCCCCCATAGTCCAACTGAGCCACATGTCAGCTCCCTGCCCCTCCCCTTGCAGCCTAGATGAATTGCATGACAGCTCCGCCTCCCTTCCTTCCCCCTGCAGCCCAACACCCTGCAGCATGCTGGGACTCTCTGATCCTGGAACTTCCGTGATCATGCCAGACCATGGATGTTGCTAGACTAGAGAATCACGGATTTTAGAAGTGCAACCTGTAGTTATGACGGCTCTTTCTTTAACTCTTAGTTCGGTGATGCTGGTTACAAAAGAATTGTGGTTTATTAATATACTGTGCATGTGTACAATATGGTATTTTAAAGCTTTTGTCAATTCTGAGCTAGACCGCTTTGCTGACATTTTAAATGGTCTCCAAACTTTGCCTCCAAACCTTGTATTTGTGCATGCAACAAAATCTATTTTTATGGGCAAATGTTTTCAGTTTGAATTTGCATTATGTTAGTAGCATAATTTACGAGGAATACTGGAAAATGAGTCCTTACGGTTGTAATATTGTAGCTTTTTTGGTAATAGCCTCCTCTTTTTAGAAAAAAATCCCCATCTCTCTAGAAAATGCATTTTAAAGCAGTTAACTAATTGTGACTCTTTGGTCAGCTTCTAAAATGCACATAATTTAACCATAAACAAAAGGTCAGTCTGATGTCATCCACTATTTTTTAAAAAAATAAGCAGATGTATTTAACCTGCACACAGAAAAGTAAAAACTTCTTTAAATGAGGCTATAAAAATGTTAGCAAGATGAAAAAATATTTTCAAATCTGTAAACTTTTAATCATATATGTGAGGTGGAGTTGATATTAAATGAACTAAAGTGACATAATTCAACTTAATTTTATATAGTGTCTTTAGCATCAACTGTGTGGGCAAGCTAATTGGATAAGCATCAGGCACTTAACCTTAAAGTCTGACATTTAACAATGTGCATTTTATCCTCCTCCTGGTTTTAAACAAATTATTTTCAAAGGACCAGCTCTGTGGTGTTTTTTTTTCTAAATTGCTGTGATTATAGTTTCGTTAGGGTAACTTGGACTGACATACATCTATTTCTGTCGGAAGTGCTTGTTCTCCCTTTGCAGATGTTTGTTTGTTATATTATCAGTAGCAGTCTTTTCTCGGCATGCTGTCAGGCCAGATAATTTCTCTTTTCACTTTAGGATAATTTGGATCGGGTGCATCATTCAACACCAAATGGAAGATTCCAAACAAGGTCACCAAAGAAAAACACCCCTTCACCTGAGAAAAACAGGAACTGCTTAGCAACAAAGAACTATGAGCAGCCCACAATAGCTTCTAAATCACGATCTCCATCTCCATACACAAAAAGACGAATGTGTGAGCTATCAGAAGAAGCCAGACAACGACTGGCCCATTTAAACCTTGGGCCTTTTGAATTCAGAAGAGAAACTGATAAACCTCCATTTGTAATTAGACATGTATGTATTCTCTGCAAAGTGTTTCCAATTTAAGCTCAGATCAAACATTATTCTTTCACTAAATATTACTCCCCAAATCCTAGTTTATATGAAAAATCTTTTTTTCTCTTAAACAGCCTTCTACATAGTCATTTTAGATGTAAAATTAACTAGAATAAAAGTCCTTTTGTCAACGTTGGTAACTGACAAGGATCAAAGTCTTTCATGAATACCATGTTTAAATTCTGAATGCTCATTCTTTTTCATCTAGCACACTGGACAGCATAATAGGTGCATAATTCAAGTTGGAAGTAATTGGTATTAGTATTAAAAGTGGTTGAATAGGATTTGAAAAGAGTGCAGAGTGACTTTATGAAAAGTCAGACTTCTTCCTCCTCCTTACCTCTCATTACATTATCATCTTGTCTTTCAAATTGTCCTTTTCTTAACTAAAATCTAAACTTGATTCTTCAGATTCCTGAGCATTCTGACCCTGGTTATCAAAGTGATTTAAACATGTGAATCATCCTTCTGAAGTAAACAGGACTACTGTTGCTTAAAGCTGAGCATGTTCTTAAGCATTTGGCTGGACTCGGTTCAATATGCTTAGCATATTGGAGGAGCATATTGTTTGAAATGTGCTTTGATGTTAATGTTTGTTTTTCTTATTATTCCCCACAATCACTATAAGTCTCTACTTCTAAAAATTCAATCTTGAAATAGTGCAGAGAGAAAGACAAATGGGGCTATTTTATTTCTGGGCTATGACATCAGGGCTTATGTGCAATTTCAGCAATCTTATCTACCACATTATCTGATTATCTTTGTTACTTCTCTGATTATTCCATTTTTAGCTTATTTCTAATTAATTCATTAGCATATGTTGTCAAACTCTGAAATTCACTTACAAGTTTTCTTTTACTCCTACATCCCCTTTAGACATTCAGATGAGCCTTAAGCAACCATTAATCTTGAACCTATTGCTTATCATACTCCCATGGATATTATTTTTTTCTTTTAACTCAAATTAGTCAGTTCTCCCATTTCTGATCTACAAGTGATGTTCATAGAGTAATTACAGCACCTTTACATGCCAATTGCTTATTCTGATTACTCCAACTGCTTTTGTGCCTCTTCTACAAAAAGAAAATATATATCTGCTGCATTCTTTTAATGAATCATATCCAGACTTTCATTGCCTTTCTGATGTGATAACACTCCTTAAGGATATCTTTAATGCTGAGGTCGACTTGGACTGGGAAGTCTGTGTGGGTATGTCTACACTAGCCCCCTAGTTTGAACTAGGGAGGCTAATGTAGGCATTCGAAGTTGCAAATCAAGCCCGGGATGGAAATATCCCGCGCTTGATTTGCATCTTCCCGGCCGGTCGCCATTTTTGAAATTTACAAGTCCGGACTAACTGCCTGCGTCTACACGCGGCTGGGACCTGGTAGTTCGAAATAAAGCCTTAGTTCGAACTACTGTTAAACCTCATCCCAGGAGGAATAACAGGTAGTTCAAACTAGGGCTTTATTTCGAACTACCGGGTTCCTGCCGCGTGTAGACACGGGCATTTAGTCCGTACTTGTAAATTTCAAAAAACGGCGCCCGGTCGGGAAGATGCAAATCAAGCGCGGGATATTTCAATTCCGGGCTTGATTTGCAACTTCGAATGCCTACATTAGCCTCCCTAGTTCAAACTAGGGGGCTAGTGTAGACATACCCTGTGTTACATTAAGCTCAAAATTTGAACTTGCTAAAACATTATTCTTTAATTAGGAAGGAAGTGTAAACCTTTAAATATGTAGGTGAGATCTGAACTTTTTCAGGTAAATATTAGATTACTAATTTGTAGAGAATGTTAAAAAAGAAGGCTTTTCCTTTTTTCATTTTATTTGACAGGTTCCTATAGCAGACTCATGTTTGGCAAAGTTTAAAACAAGAACTTATACAGATTCAACCTCTGTAGTCCAGCACCATCTGGTCTGGCATGATTTCAGTTAGCCAAATTTATACTTGTCATGGGTGTGGCCAAGATTCCCATGATCCCATAACATTTATTTAGAGCCACCATTCCTAGCTCTCAGTGTTCTGTGCTGTTATTTAACTCTAATTTACCCTAAATGTCTTCTAAGAGCTCAGTAAGCAGTGAAAGTATTGGTAGTGCTGCTGGACAATATTGATCTCCCATGGTTTGGCAAATCGTCTGGTTTGGCACCAGTCAGGTCCCAAGCGTGCCAGACTACAGAGGTTCAACCTGTATTTATTGGTTACTTTGAGTTTCTGTAAGAAGGGTCTAATGGATCTACATTAATACATAAGACAATACGTTACACCTTGTTCTGTTGCTTGTCACACTCTTGCCTCTTTTCTAGTTTGCTTTTTAATTTCTGTTTAAGGGTTTTTATAACTATGTGCTTACACTATTGTCTGTGGAGTAATACTACATTCACATAGATAAAATATGGAGAATAGCTTCCTAAACATGATCATGAAATATCTTAGATTAAGAAATTGAACAAGAAAGAAGTAGAGGAAGACATACGGAAAGGAAAGGTAATTTAATGTGTGTATGTGGAGTTAAAAATTTATCTCCACACACTAAATGTTTTAATAATGTTTTGGCTCCAGATTGAATATCCGAGCTCCCCTGTTGATGTTCATACATGGCATCTCAACAGAGACAGGGGACGAGAAGCTATGTCCAGGGTATCTTACGGTAAGTGTTGATTTGTATCTCTAATCTTAGATACTCCTCGTCCATATGGAAGGGTAGACTTTTAACTTATTAAGGTATGTCTACACAGCAGGGCTAAAGTCGAAGTAAACTACTCTCAGTCCTTTTGTGTCATCTGTAAACAGTGTCCCCCAATATCAGGCTGGTGCATTGGTAAAGTACAGCCTGTGCTGGCAAGGAAGCACCTGGTTAGAGACACTAACTGATCCTGTTATGGAAGCCTGCAAAAGCACTAGGCCTCGGGAACCCTCACCATCCCAACAACTCCCCTATCCCATTACTCACTTGTAACTATATCTCTTAAACTCCTGCACCTAGGATATCTGCAACCTTTCCTTTTCCTTCCAGCCAAGGTAAAATACCCTTTCACTCAACCAAGTGTCTGGTTATTGGGCTCCACCAGGGCTAGTGCCTACAATGCCTAGCTGCAGAAGCCCCTATAATGCTTACCTCTTAATTTCAGTGATAGAAATGTAGCTGTGTTAGTCTGGTGTAGCTGAAACAAAATACAGGACTATGTAGCACTCTTAATTTCAGTACATCTGGCATGCTATTGTTAAGCCTACAGGGCTGGTGTACTGGGAAGGCACTATAATTATATATCGTTATGCAAACTGAAAAACACAGTGTTGGCTATGCTTTGCCACTTGATTTATTTAGCTTCTGATCTCTTATTTCCCATATGCACGACACAGATTATTTGCTCTGTTGCTTCCAGTAATCCATGGATTAAAGTTAGAATCCTTTAGTGGAGAGCTCTGTTGAAAACAATCCTTCTCCCATATAGTGTATTCCCACAGATTTGGAGATTCCTTGTCTGTATCAGGTAAAATTAAGGAAGGGAGTACTTTAAAACTTGGCTTAAGTTCTTCAGTATTTGCTGATGCAAGATGATAGCATGAATCAAAGTGAACTTCATTAGTATTTGTGTACTTCTATTTACATTTTATTGTGACTCCTTACTAGTTATATCTTCATTGCAATTCACAGTAAATTAAAGGTATTTTGCATAGTAGAAGGACTGGAGGCTCCAGCTGTAAGCATTGAGATGCAAAGCCTTTCATCTCAGGGTGTAAACAGTAATCTTTAGCAGTTTGATATTATCAGAGCCATATTATTCTGTAATATGAGTTAGTGGTCTCGGGCCAGTCACCAGGGAACTGAAATTTACCTCAGAAAAGAGGTGTCACTTCTAACAGTGACTGGGGGAGAGACACCCTCTGCCTGTGTGGTAGGCTGTACCAGTTACAAGAATCAAACTTCTGAAAAGTACAGATTCCTGGAATCAAATGTTCTAATCCTAGAAATAACGTCTCAGTTCTCTTTCATCCTTTGTGAGATACTAAAAAATGGATGACCTGTCTGCTTTTCTATAGAGGGGATTTTTAGAAGTTTGGTTATTTGGTTGTACCCCCAAATTACACACTAAATTTCATCATTTTGTGTATGCCGAATCAGAGGCAGTTATGGAAAATTTGGATCTACAGATGCTATGACATTTTTAATTAAAGAAGGGTTTTCCCCCGTGCTTTAGAGGGATCAAGGATCCCAAATATATGGTCTTGTTTAGATGTAACCAAATTTTATCAAAACTTGGAAACTATTCATACCAGTGGAATTTCTGTGCATGTGTCTGTGGGTAGATTGTGTCCCCTTTCTGTTTGTCATCCTCTCTGGGTATCTAAAATTGCACAGAAATACTAAGTATTAGATACTATTAGGTGGACTCACTTTCACTTTGTAGGTACTATCCACCAAACTGGTTCAAGGCATAGCATAGAGTGAGAATAGCTGTCCTGTGGGTACACAATGGATTTATCTTTGGATAGAAATTTGACTTCCTTTGTAAAGTGGCTTGCCAGTAGAAAATACGGTACATATTCTGGTATTGTTTTACTTTATATTGGCTTAAGCAATGAATAATAATATAACTCACGAGCTTCAGGGGGTAGCCGAGTTAGTCTGTTACAGAAAAAAGAACAGCAAGCAAATGGTCTGATAGCACTTTATATACTAACAAAACATGTAGATGGTATCATGAGCTTTCGTGGGCACAGCCCACTTCTTCAGAGGACCAGAGTTATGATTAGAGGATAAGGAAACTCGAAATAAATAGCATAAGAGGCAGTGTGCACAGTGCATTGTCAGTGGAAAAGATGCTACCACCACTTGTTGAGGATGTTTTAATTGTATTGGCTGGAGAGCTCTCTCCAGTGGCATAGCTGATCTATGTGAGAGATCTTACAGCAGGCAGCTGCATCTGTACAGCTGTCCACTGTAAGGTCTCTAGTGTAGACAAAATGTGATTGTTGCAATCAAACTTAAAGGTATTGTCAGATGAAGAAATTGAAACTAAAACACCACAGGCCATGCCATTATTTTGAATCATGCAGTGTATAACAGAGAATTGTTTTAGCTACTGTTTGAAAGGTGATTTTGGGGAAAGACTTTTTTTTTAATGCCATAGAGTGCATGTACTTCTAGACCTATACTCTCAAAGTGTATTTAAAAATTCTGTTGGGGTGCACTTTTTTCCAGATCCTTCTCTTCTTGGCAGCTATCGACCCAAGTACACTAAAGTAAGTAATGAAAATTAAATTGCATGTACTTTTTCCTATATTTTGGAGTGTTTGGAATGGTAAAGTTTGTAAGATTTCTGTTTCAGGTGCCTGAGTGAAATCAACGATGCATATTGCATCATTGCCTAAATATAGATATTGTTTTAGTATATTATGAAGCGTTCTCAATACATTCTGCATGCACTATAGACATAAACTCATAGTAAATAATCACGTTCTACATTTATAGAATCTAATTGTTATTTACAGTAATGTCACTTTCACTTTACAGTGCTGGGGTGAGTAACGGCACCTTAAAGTGAGTGTGAAATTACATTTACAGCCACTTCAAGAGGATCCTTTATATCAGTATAGCATTGTAAAACAGCAGTGGTGTAAATGACAGCTGAGCCTGCAGTGTGCTGTTACTTCAAATGTTTGCCTCTTGTGATTATTCTCAAGTTTTGTCTTTTTTTCCTCAGCTAGCTGCTTTTCCTGCATTCTTGGTTGGGATGCAGGGGTTTGTTTCTCTCACCCACCTGACAGATGTGAGAAATAAGATCCAACTTCTTTGTTTATTCTGTCCTTTTTTCTTAATTTTTGTCTTTCCTGAAATACCATGGACATTTAGCTAGTAGACCATTAATTGTTGTATTTGTGCCCTGTTCGATTTCCTAATGACTGGCAAGAGAGATGATGCAAGGAGGGAGAAAGAAAGTGAATTAAAAGGATAAAACTTTGATACAGGCCATACATTATTGTCAGCTTCTCAACTTTCACTGTGTAGGAATGCAATTTTATGTGGCATGTAAGTCTAATATATTGTGCTGCCTCTGGATTGTTCCATAGTGTGATAAGTGATAAACTGTACAGAGAACTTCTAACTATGCTTTTATGATGAATGTTTTCATTCTAATCCATTTTTCTCAAATGGGGAAGAAGATATTAGCAGTAGTTGTTGTTTGGAGCACATAGGTGTAACAGATACAGATTAAATTCATCACTCTCCTGATGCCTTTAAGCATTCTTGGCTCAAAAAACAAAACAAAACAAAAAACACCAAATAATAATAATAAAAAAAACCCAGAAGAAACTATATCTTTTCTGTAGCCAAAAATTATTGTACAGCTCTGAACTAGATGATGTTAGCATTGTGTAGAATAAGAAGACTGAGAATTATTGGTGTCATGTACCTGTTAACGGGGAAATCAGTGTTACATTTAATAAAGTAGATGATATTTGGAAATGTTGTTTGTATGTGTTTAATCTGAGGATTACCTTTGAATGAGATTCTAATTCTGTAAGAAACATCAGATGCATCTTTTTAAATTGTTAGGTGAAATAGCTTATGGGGACATAATGTTTGGACTCTTCTGGCTTTTATTGTTAATTTAGGTCTTTCATGTGGTGTGACTAGGGTATTAAACTTCCATTAAAGCTCACCTAAAAATACTCGATTGTGTAGTGGAGTGAGATATAAACCTGCCTTTTAGACAGTTTCCTGCCTAGTATGAAGAACTTCAAGAAATTGTATTGAGTTCTTATACATGTGTGGTGTAAAATAACAAAACAAACTCCTCCCATAGGACACAGGGTGCTTTACAAGGCTAGCGGCGTAAAGCTCTAATTGGGGTTATATATGAATAACGCTGTGATGAATCTCTTGGTAAGAATATATGGGGGACATATCAAATCTTACACAGAAATAGCATTTCCAGAGCAAGTGGGCATGGCAAACAAGATGAAACATGGCCTGTTTCCCTAAGCCTACAAGCTAAGCGGGAAAATGTACGCTCTTATCCCACTCACATCTTTGACATGGAGCTATAGGTCCAAGGATTCCCCCTTGTGGGTCTGGAGCAGTATCTAGAGATCAAAGTGTCAATGCAGAATTTGGTCCTAGTTGATGGGGGGTGAGATGCTGGATAAAGAAGGAGCCATACAAAAGGATTATTAACATGGCAAAACTTAAGAAATGCAGCAACCCTTCTGCATTGCTTACACATTTTCTTTATCAGTAATCACTCAAGCGTACAGGGTGTTGCTTTCCATTTTGCAAGCTTAAAGAGAGAACCCATGCAAAATGCACTGTACAGGTCCATATGCAGTTTTTTAAAGGGTCATAATTTGGCCAAATAGAGAAACACTTTCAGTGGAAATCTCTATGGACTCTCTTCTCTAGAAACCTGCAAGGTACTTTTTTCAGCGAGGGCTGTTTCAGATTTTTACCTCTGACTTGTTTCAGCTCTGTAGCCGTTCCAAAAAACGACAAAAATTGTTTTATAATGGGCAAAGTGTCTCTTCCCCACAATCTTGCCTGATAATCCAATAAGGCTGAAGAGTTTTAGCTGAGACTAAAAATGCCCATTCAGAAAGCAATCGTGGAGCATTTCAGCTGGAAAGGTGGAAACTTCAGAAAGATATCAATGACTGAAAACAAGGTTGGGGTGAGAGGAAGAGGATCTAGTATGGAATGCACTCTTACTTATGGGGGTTGCTGTTCTCTCTAAGTTGTGTAGCAGTACAGCTCCACAGGTGATTAATCAGCCCTATCCAGTTAGAGGCTCAGGGCTCCCTCCATGGAGCTGACTGACTGGGTGGAACTGATTAATCACCTATGAAGCTGTGCAGTCTCTGAGCTTAGAGGGAACACTGGTTGCTGTCACTCCCCCTCTAGTGTTATATGCAAGCCTCTGTAAATAACTGTCTTATGTGTATTGCTTAAAATAGGCTAGTCTAATGTTTAACTTTGTTTTACATACAGAAACAAATTGAAGTGTTACATCTCTGCCCCTCATTAGCTTAAGCACAGACATAGCTAAGGTTCTTATTATATATTGTTTGAAGTTGCACTGTTGTTTTTTTCTTTCACAGATCATCAGGTCTCATCATGGGAAAGACTTAGATGGTTCTTCTGACAGCTGTGATGATCACCCGACACTGGGTACTGCTAGTAGGCAATTTCGTTCCACTGGCTCATTAGTACGTTCAGCACCCTCCTCGTTGCAGAAATATCCCTCAAGTCCTGTACTAAACCGTTCTTCTCTTAGAGAAAGGTAAAGGCTTATTTAAATTAAATTTAAATTTTAAATTATTGGAGATTGCCTATCTTCTAGAACTGGAAGGGACCTTGAAAGGTCATTGAGTCCTGTCCCCTGCCTTCACAGCAGGACCAAGTACCATCCCTGACAAATTTTTGCCCCAAATCCCTAAATGGCCTCTGCAAGGATTGAACTCACAACCCTGGGTTTAGCAGGCCAATGCTCAAACCACTGAGCTATCCCTCCCCCCAAAAACAAATTTTTGTTTGTTGTCAGTGAAATTTTGGAATAATTGGCAATTGTGAGTAATGGCATAGTTTGCATAAGAGTAGGTTGACTGTTTGCGTGACACAGACGAAAATGACTGTGGATTTCTTGTTGTTTTATGTAACCATTTGAACGAGCATCAAAGGACTGCATGTCCAAAACAGGGTCTGCTTTAAAGTGCTCTTTATACCTTGGTGAAGGGCATTCCACAAAGCGGGAGTAGTAAATTAATTTTTTGTCAAGGTCCAAATTTCTTGGTCAGTGTCCAAACTCTAGAGGAAATCATTTTAAAAATAACAACTATAATAAGTAAACAAACAGATTTTGGGGTCCATTCCAAAGCACCTAACAGTGTGGTTATGACTCTGTCTACCTATTGACTATTCCTCTGCTAAAGGCTGTGACACTCAAAAAGGCCCAAAATCACTGGACTTTGCTCCAGAGCTTGCTTTTGGAAGAGTCTTCAGTAGCATACAAGTCCAGATGGTTTTCTCCTGTGAAAATACCCTCTACGCCCAGCACAAGTAGTTTGGCAGCTAAACCTTGCTAGATGTCAAAACATAATGCAAAATCTCAAACTGACATAATCCCTTTGTTTGAGACTCCTTTACAGCCGCTGAAATGGGCTTCACCAGCTACAGATCAAAGGTCTTTGGCTGGAACTGAGAAAAGAATGGACGGTCGTGATATTTAGTAATTTCTAGTGTGCTGGGAGGCAAATGGGGCTTTTAGAATGATGCATCGAGTTTGGAAAAAAAACTCACCTTTCACACTGAAATATCAACTAGTATAGATCATCATGAGTGGTCATTCCTGTCCTCAGGTGCTTGTGTGACTCCTGCTAGGTAGGATAGATAGGACACGGGTTCATCTGCTACAAGTCAAAACAGTAAACAACAATCAGGTTTGCTTAAGAACAGACAAGGGTCCATGTGTAGGATCCTTTTTTTCTGTTTCTCTCATTCCCTGAGTACTAGAAAAGTTTGGGCATCTTATTGTTGGGTGATCTTGGTTAATCCACTATGAATCCACTTGACCCATGTATGTGTTGGCTCCTTTGAAGTCTATGGAAGTTTTGCGTTGATTTCAGTGGACTCATGATTTCATCCCAGCTTGTTGGCTTCTAGTTTTGTCCCAGGGTGATTTATTCTCTCTCTTGCTGAAGTCAAGATCTCCTGCCCCAACAGGATAACACATCCAGACTCCTTTATAGAAATTAGGGTAAAATATCTTAAAATAGTGGAGTCCAGAAAGCCATCCATTAGAAAGCAGAATGATGATTAATACAACTTTTTAAAAAGTTTAGTCCTCATAGAAGCTGTGACCCATTTTATTTGCCAGTTCAAATTGATTTAGACTTCCTTCAATCTCTGTTGTCAGATCTGTTTCTGGAAACTGCAGATGGTTACCTATCTGCCATTTCTGCTTATGCTGGCCCTACCCTGGTGAAAAGGGGCTCTGTGTTTGTTCTGTGATGAAACAGTTCTTTTAAACGTCATACAAACTTGTACACTCCTGTTCTGGAACCTATTTCTCTTTGGCACTTGAACTTGGTATTAAATAAACTTATGAGAGGGTGTCTGAACTTTTAGGATCTTGCTCTCTGTATTGCCTCTCAGTGAAGATCTCATATTTTGTCACAGCTAACTTGACCAGGAGGGTTTGAGTTACAGGCCTTGCTAATCTTCTATTGTATTCCACAAAGACCAGTGGCTACTTAAGCTTCACCCCAAATTCTAGACAAATGTATGTTTCACTTTTTGTTTCAATTGCTGGTATTTCTGCCTGTCTCGTTTACAATGCCTCAATAACTATGCCGAGGAGGTGAAATTGAACACCCTGCATGTCAAGAGCGTTGATGTCTACTTAAACAGGACCAATCCATTTCAGAAGTCAGAGAGTTTATGGCCTCAGGAGAAGAATGTGAGAATCACCCACCTGAGCTCAAAAACCTACTATCGAAAGGATAAAAAAATGAATCCATTTGTGTTATAAACCAGTTGTGCTTGAATTCTTAAGGGGTCAATCAATGAGGGTATTGCAAAGTGTGTATATGCAATGTGCCCTTACCTGAAATTTGAAGGGCTGCTGTCTGGAGATCTGTTCATAGCTACAATTGTTATTTTCTTGACACCATATCCAGAGCAAATTATAGTATATAGAGGGAGAAAAGCCTGTTGTGAGAGTCTATGGGTTAAGTTTAGAAGTGCAAACAACAACAGTGATGTTGTGGTTGGTGTCTACTATGGGCCACCGAATCAGGTGGATGAGATAGATGAGGCTTTCTTCGGACAACTGAAAGAAGCTTCCAGATCGTAGGCCCTGGTTCTTGTGGGGGACTTTAATCACCCTGACATCTTTTGGAAGACCAATATGGCATTACACAGACAATCCAGGAAGTTTTTGGAGAATGTTGAGGATAACTTCTTGGTACAACTGCTGAAGGATCCGACCAGGGGCTGTGCGCAGCTTGACCTTCTGCTCACAAACAGGGAGGAACTAATAGGGGAAGTAGAGGTGGATGACAACCTGGGAAGCAGTGATCATGAGATGGTAGATTTCAGGATCCTGACCAAAGGAAGAAAAGAGAGTAGTAAAATACACACCTTGGACTTCAGAAAAGCAGATTTTGACTCCCTCAGAGACCTGATGGGCAGAATCCCCTGGGATGCTAACATGAAGGGGAAAGGAGTCCAGGAGAGCTGGCAGTATTTTAAAGAAGCCTTACTGAAGGCATGAAAAGAAACCATCCCGATGCATAAGAAGAGAAGCAAACATGGTAGGAGACTGGATTGGCTTACAGGGGAAATCCTTGGTGAACTTAAGCACAAAAAGGGAGCTTACAAAAAGTGGAAACTTGGACAAATGACCAGGGAGGAGTTTAAAAAATGTATAGCTCGAGAATGCCGTGGGGTTATCGGGAAGGCAAAAGCGCAATCTGAATTGCAACTGGTAAAGGATGTGAAGGATAACAAAAAAGGTTTCTACAGGCATGTTAGCAAGAAGAAGGTGATCAGAAAGGCTGTGGGGCCTCCACTGGATGAAAGAGGTAACCTAGTGACAGATTATGTGGGGAAAGCTAAAGTACTCAATGCTTTCTATGCCTCTGTCTTCACGAACAAGGTCAGCTCCCAGACTAATGTGCTAAATGACACAAAATGGGATGAAGATGGACAGCCTTTGGTGGGTAAAGAACAGGTCAGGAACATTTAGAAAAGCTGAATGTACACAAATTCATGGGTCTGGACTTAATGCATCCGAGGGTACTGAGGGAGTTGGTAAATGTCATTGAGGAGCCTTTGGCCATTATCTTTGAAAAGTCGTGGCGATCGAGAGAGATCCTGGATGATTGGAAAAAGGCAAGTGTAGTGCCCATCTTCAAAAAAGGGAAGGAGGACGATCCAGAGAACTATAGGCCAGTCAGTCTTACCTCGGTCCCTAGAAAAATCATGGAAGGGATCCTTAAGTAATCCATTTTGAGGCACTTGGAAGAGGGGAAAGTGATCAAGAATAGTCAGTATGGATTCACAAAGGGCAAGTCATGCCTGACCAATCTGATTAGCTTCTATTGTGAGGTAACTGGCTCTGTAGACATGGGGAAGTCAGTGGATGTGATATACCTTGACTTTAGCAAGGCTTTTGATACGGTCTCCCACAATATTCTTGCCAGCAAGTTAAGGGAATGTGGATTGGATAAATGGACGATAAGATGGATAGAAAGCTGGCTAGAAGGCCAGGCCCAGCGGATAGTGATCAACGACTCAATGTCAGGATGGCAGTCGGTTTCTAGCAGAGTGCCCGAAGGTTTGGTTCTATGACCGGTTTTGTTCAATATCTTTATTAATGACCTGGATGAGGGTATGGGTTGCACCCTCAGCAAGTTTGCTGATGACACTAAGCTAAGGGGAGAGGTAAATAACTCGAGGGCAGAGAGAGGGTCCAGAGTGACTTAGACAAATTGGAGGATTGGGCCACAAGAAATCTGATGAGGTTCAACAACGACAAGTGTAGAGTCCTGCACTTGGGACGGAAGAATCCCAAGCATTGTTACAGGTTTGGGACCAACCAGCTAAGTAGTAGTTCTACAGAAAAGGACCTGGGGATTACAGTGGATGAGAAACTGGATATGAGTCAACAGTGTGCCCTTGTAGCCACGAAGGCTAATGGCATATTAGGTTGCATTAAGAGGAGCATTGCCAGCAGATCCAGAGATGTGATTATTCCCCTTTATTTGGCTCTTGTGAGGCCACTTCTCGAGTCGTGTCCAGTTCTGGGCCCCCCAGTACAAAAAGGATGTGGACGCATTGGCGAGGGTCCAGCAGAGGGCAACCAAAATGATTAGGGGACTGGAGCATATGACCATGAGGAGAGGCTGAGAGAGTTGGGTCTGTTTAATCTGCAGAAGCGAAGAGTGAGGGGGGATTTAATAGCAGCCTTCAATTTCCTGAAGGGAGGTTCGAAAGAGGCTGGAGAAAGGCTGGTCTCAGTAGTGACGGATGGCAGAACAAGGAACAGCGGTCTCAAGTTGCGGTGGGAGAGGTCCAGGTTGTATATTAGGAAAAACTATTTCCCTAGGAGAGTGGTGAAGCATTGGAATGGGTTACCTAGGGAAGTAGTGGAGTCTCCATTCCTAGAGATTTTTAAGTCTCGGCTTGACAAAGCCCTGGCTGGGTTGATTTATTTGGGATTGGTCCTGCCTAGAGCAGGGAGCTGGACTTGATGACCTTCTGGGGTCTCTTCCAGCTCTA